TCTTTCCCTCCTCTGACTTTAATTCCATCAGGCAGGCTCCTCTCCTGGATACCACAGGGGAGTTCAGCTGAAACTATATCCTCTTTGTGGTTCCCGTGGACCTTTGCCCATCCTTCCATTCTAGTACCTTGTTTAGAGTTTTTCTCTATGTGTTTACGTCTCTTCCAGACTGAGCTCCTTGAGGATAGAGTCCAGGGCATGTAATATGTGCTCAACAAATACCGAATTGATTTTTCTTCACTTGGCCTTTGTTCCGGTGCTGCATATTCTTGTTTCAGTTTGCCAGCCAAATGGAGACTGCCCTCTCAAGCCCTCAGCTTTCCCTCGTCTATAAAACAGTCTGTGGGGTGACTGAAAATCTTTAGATGGTAGACTTGTCACCTACTTTTCATGTTGATAGGTTTAAGTCCAGCTCTGCCATTAGCTGTGTGAACAAACGACAATCACCAGACCTCTCTGGGCCTCCCAACTTGCCTCATATAGACCTTCCCTTCCACTTGGACTATGCAATAGTCTTTTCAAATGACTCTCCCATCCACAGCAGGACTCCCCAAGGAATCCCCACTCACCACCATCATCCATGTGATCTTTTCAAGGCCCGAAGCTGATCATGTGTGTCTCCATCTTAAAGCCATTGGTGAGGTCTCCCTTCCTTTGACTCCAGCTCCCAACTCCTGAGCTTTGACTGTAATACCCTCCACGATTTGGTCCTGACCTATTGTCCAGGCTCACCCCCCGTCGCTCCCCGTCCCTAATATTCTGAGAAGCCACCATGCTCTTTCACATCTTTTCACTTGTTGTTCCCTCAGCCTAGAATGCTTTTCTTCTTATCTTCTCAAAATCTTACTTCAAGATTCAGCTCAAATGACTCTTGGGTGAAGGCTTTCCTGCTGCCACTGAGGATTAAAACACATCTCTTTTTGAACTGTAATGGACCTGAGAGGGAGGGCAGTGGGGTAGAGGGCACCATGTGCAGGTTCAAAGCCAGTAGGCCAAAGGAGTAAGGGGGTGGGGGAGCAAAGGAGAGCATGTGTGCGCACAGACTGACTGCCCTATCTCGGGCAGTCCTCCTTTGGAGATGTCCTGAGACTAGAGTCCCTTGCACTAGTTTTCTTCTTATCGGCAGGGGCAGCCTCTTGCTAGGCTTCTGACCTCTCTGCCCAACAACCGCTCACACCCGAGGTTGCCAAGAAATGTTTCTGAAGGTGGCCCAAGGACCTTGCTGCCCTGCCTGCCATTCCACAGCATTCCCACGGCCTCTCAGCATCCAACACCTATCATCATTAAGGTATTCAGTGCTCCCGCTCGTGGGTGATGTGCAGATTAAAATGTATACATTCACTTGGCTTTTAACAGCAAGTATATTTCTTTTCTGTGGGGGAGAGGGGATGTGTTCAGTCTGGCCAATAAGCCCAAAGCCATTTGTTGTTACCGTGTCACACACTCTCCCAGAATGTCTGAGGAAAGGCCAGGGTGCTGGTTTCTCATCTAGAACAGAATTAGCAAATCACTGGACCAGATGCCAGGGATTTGGCACCAGTGTTAGCTCCATCTTTGCCCAAGGTCTAAATTACTTTGAAACCCTCATGGCTTCATATATTAAAAAGGGGCCCTTTCAACTCTCAGCATGCACTATCCTTGCAATATTTTTTCCAAGTTAAATAGCATGTTCTTTTCTGGTTTCTCAAAGTACAGGGCAGGGCAAATGTGGGGACAAAAGAGAGCGTAATGTAAGTTCTACTCACATTCATGTGCCTCTCCCATTCCCACCCTCCGCCCTCAGCCCAGGAAAGACCCAAGTCACACAGGGGCTAGAGAGCTGGAAGCAAACTAGAGGTAGAGGGTGGAGGCTTTGCTGAGACTGTGATAATACAGAGGAAGATAGTAGGAGGGTACACTTCCTCTTCCAGGGTGTGTCCCTTAAATACAGGAGAGCGGATGGTACAGGAGTGTTGGGAAGGGAGAAGCAAAGGATAGCAGGAAGACTGGGCACCCCTCCCAGGCCAGGTCAGGTCCTCTGTATACAACTATGACACAGATATTCAGAAGTGGAATGAAGGGAGTCCTTGGGCCCTAGCCAGGAAGTGGGGGAGACGAGCAGGGATGAGGGAGGGGAAATGTCACCAAGCAACACCTCAAAGTACCAGAGGAGCCACTGGGGGGCAAAGATCTGGAAACTGCAGACTACCACATCCAAGAGTCATCAGTGTGCAGGCAGGAACCCGGAGGCCAGCCAAGATGGCACCAGGAATTGCTAGGCCTAATTATCTGTACAATTTTAAATCTGGAAGCTTAGAAGTCATCTAGGGGACTGAGTGTCTTGCACACCACCTCTGGCCTCCCCTCTCCTTCAGCCTTGGCCCATGCAGGTCTTCCCGCTCAGAGAACCTTTCCCACCTTCGTCACTAGCTCAGTCCGCTCAGCCTTTGAATTCAGCTCAGGTCTCATCTCCCTCTAGACCTTCTCCCTGAAACCCCCACTCTGTGTTCCTTGCCCCCATGTGTTCTCTGAGCAGCCTGTGCTTCCTTGTCTCCCAGTACTTACTGCACTATCAGCAATTGTGTTTTCTGGTCTGAATCCCTCACTGAACCGCAAACCCTTTAAGGACTGGCCTTACCCTTACTCCGTTTTGTACACTCAGCACCTAAGAGTGCCTGGTCCACAGGAAGGGCTCAATTAACTAGGAAGAGGTGAAAAACAAGTGGAGAAGAGGCAGTGTTCAGCTTACTTCCCATTCTACCCTCTGGAAAATGTAGGATATATGCCCTCCTGCTCCTGACAGCCTTTGAGTATCTAATGATGGTTATCAAATTCTGTCCCCCAAGAGCCTCCAGACATAGGTAAACAGTCTAGTTCCTTCCACACCTCCTCCAACATCCTGGCTTTCCATCCCCTCTCCACTGCGCTTCCTCGTCCGGTGATGCTTGAATGTCAGGATCCTTCTGTAAATGAGGCCACCAGAGTGGGACACACGCTTTCATACACATTCCTATCCAATATTTGTAAAACTGGGCAGTGGCTAACACTGCAACAGAAATCGGTAGCTGAGCCAGAAATGGGATCCGAATGTTCAGATCCCCAAATCAGTCACACAGTACTTTACTAAAGTTAGTACTGGATTAGTAACCTAAACCCAGTTAATTTTCCACCTGTATACTCAGTCCCATGTCTTTTTTGACTCCCAACCTTGTTGCTAATTCCCAAGCAGCCCTCACCCCAATGTGAGACGAAGGCGGAGCTACACGTAAGGCCAGCAGCTGGTTCTGCCAGGAATCAGGGCAGCAGCTGGTAGAGGGGGTGGGGGGAGCACGGATTAGGAAAAGAGTGCCCCCTCAGGGCAGATCAATTAATTTAACACATATATACTATTGAGAACCTAGCCTCCTGGAGTTAATATTTTAGTGGGGAAGAGAGACAAAGTAAAGACATATTGCGAAGCAGATTAAAATGGTAATCAGTGCGATAGAAAAATAAATAGAACAGCGTGGGGGTGGGGTGGGGTGGGAGGGCAGAATACAATTCTAAATAGGGCAGAACAGGAGGCCTAATGGAAGGAGACTGTGGATCAAGACCTGAAGGAGGAGATGGAGCTGAGGGAAGGGCTTTCTAGACATAGGCACAAGACACGAGGTTGCTTATTTCTTACATTATAGAAACTGGATTGTGGGATGCAACTCTAGCTTAGAATTAGAAACAAAACAGAATAAGGATTGCTGGCCATTTGGGCTAAACCTACATACTATATATACATTTTGATCTCAAGGCAGTAGGAAGCCTTATTAATGCCAGCTTCCTAAGATTTCGATGGCCACTGCTCAAGGCAAAGGAGGGATGCAGGCACTTCACCTGAAGGCTTCTGGCAGGAAATGTAAATACACGCCCTTTTTGCCTATTTTCTTCATGATGAGGAGAGGTTTTCAGAAAACATGTAATACTCTAGGCACAACCTTTGTAACTTGCTGTAGCACATGTGAACCTGAAGAAAAAGCAGCACAAAGTGGACTAGTAATAAATGAAATCTAATGACTAAACATACAAACTCTATATTTAAGTGATATATTACTGTGTATAATGCTTATCCAAATATGTTTAAAAATGAGATCCAGTACTAAAGTCCACAAAGGGAGAAAACATTGATCAAATTTACAAACTGCATTTTTATATAAATCTCTATTCCCAGGGTCAGTTGTCAACAGCCTTTATGTACTCCTATAGCAACTCTGCCCTTGCGATGAATCCCGTAACTGGGATCCATTGCCTGCTTCTCTTTTCTGGGAGTAGACAGCTACCTTCATAAAGAATATATGCTAACGACAATGGCAAAGCAAAAAAACCATCAACGAATTGGTATCTTTAGGGGCAGATGGCGTGTTCGGTTCTTAATCTCCTCTCCTCCTTTCCTTCCCTCCCTCTCTAAAGGATGTGCACATAGTGGTACATCTTTCCTCTGCCTTTCAGAGCTTTTCACTGTCTTTTCTGATGTTCAAGTGTGGGTCGAGTCTGGTCACCAAACAGACAAAACAAATTGCCGAGAAAATAAGTAATGAGTCACTCACATAAGGTATGCACTAATAAAAATTTATTATCATAAAACAAATCAGAAAACAGCAAAAAAATTCTTTTAACCATTCACAATTAAAGTGGAAAGAGACAAAATTATAAGGCAGCCATCCATGGAATGATTTCATGTTTACAAAGGATCCAGAAAAAGGGACATTTAAAATCACTGTTCAGGCTACTGAACCAGGGGAACTGCAGTGTTATCCCGTGAGACTTCCAATTTGCTACAAGATGCTTTCAGAAATAAGGTCAAAACTAATCTCCTTGTATTAGGCTGAGCATATCTAGAGAATTCCTAATGGATGTCTAGTCCTTTCCTACAAGTCACAAATTTCCCTCAGGTCTCCTCAGGTGAATCTAGAGGTCTCGTGTACAAAGGGGCCACATCATTGGTTTTAATTTTATAACATCTTCAATAGTGCTCTTTGGGTGATGTGGACCACTCTGTAGTGAGCAGAAATTTTCCAATGCAAGGAAGGTTCCCTAAAGAACACCTTCAGAGGATTTTCACCTGACACTGTAGCAGTTTGGGGTGAATCTGGTCATTATTCTTGATCTCCCAAGGGGCCCAGGAGCCCTAAAAGCAGGAC